GCCAGGCAGGCAAGAGATGAGGATGGCTAGCAGTCGTATTGCATCATCTTCTCCCAGGCAGCCATGAGATGTGGATGGCATGCAGTCCTTCTGCACTGTCTGCTGCCAGCCAAAGATGTAAAAGATAGATGGAGTGGATCAAAACAAGAAATAGACCAGATTTGTTTTGTACTCATTTGCTTCCCCCCTTCCCCTGTCTAGGGGACTCATTCCTCTAGGTCACACTGTAGTCACTCACAGGGAAGGTGCAGCGAGGTAAATCTAGCCACGTATCAATCAGAGGCCAGACTAACCTCCTTGTTCCAATAAGAACAATAACTTAGGTGCACCATTTCTTATTGGAACCCTCCGTGAAGTCCTGCCTGAAATACTCCTTGATGTAAAGCCACCCCCTTTGTTGATTTTAGCTCCCTGAAGCCAACCCTGTAAGCTGTGTCGTCAGTCGCCCCTCCCTGCGTCAGAGCAACGGCAAACAATCGTGCATCTGAGTTGAGAGTGCTGTTCAGAGCAGTCACAATGGAGCACTCTGGGATAGCTCCCGGAGGCCAATATCGTCGAATTGTGTCCACAGTACCCCAAATTCGATCCGGCAAGGCCGATTTAAGCGCTAATCCACTTGTCAGGGGTGGAGTAAGGAAATCGATTTTAAGAGCCCTTTAAGTCAAAATAAAGGGCTTCATCGTGTGGACGGGTGCAGGTTTACATCGATTTAACACTGCTAAATTCAACCTAAAGTCCTAGTGTAGACCAGGGCTGAGGCAAATGGGATCAGAGTGGACTCTCCTTACTTTGTTTTATTTAATTGAGCATCCTCATGATGTAATCTGAAATACCCAAATGCTGTTGTTTCCTGACAGCTCATGGAATGACAATTTAGAAGAAAAACCACAGTTCATATTTCCTATTATGCTGTTGTCCTCCCTCCCCATCGTTGTTGGTCATCCTCACATTTCACCATGTTTCAAATTACATTGTAAGATCTTTGGATTACTTATTATTTGTGTTAGAGTAGTGCCTGGAGGCTCCGGTCAGGATCAGGGTGCTAGTGTGCTAGGTGCTCTGCGGATATTTGAGTAAGAGACAGTCTTTTTCCTGAAGAATTTACCGTCTAATTTAAGGTAGCACAACAAGTGGTGTAATGAAGAATTGGAAGGAATAGGGGAAGGGAGGGTGAGGGTAACTTTGATCTAAACACGTGGTTAGATTGACCACCAACAATACATACAGTTAAACGATATGGAGTCAGTTATTTTTTTTAAAATGTATAAAATATAATTAATTAAATCAAAAGGTATAATCCCTACTTGCCATCTGTCCAGTCACCATGATTAAGGCTAAGATTTAGTTATGGGTATTTTTGGTAAAAGTCATGGAATAGGTCACAGGCAATAAATAAAAATTCATGGCCCGTGACCTGTCCATGACTTTTATCAAAAATACCCATGACTAAATCTCTACTTCTGGGAACCCACTCCTCTGGGGAGGCCCCTGATGGGGGGGAGCTGCTCCAGTGCTGGGGGTTGACTGTCCCTCCCCCCCAGCCGCTGCTCCCAGGGACCGCTCTCTGGACGGCCTCTGGGAGCCCCTGAGGCCACTGCTCCAGTCGCCCTGGGACCGCTGCTGCTTGGATGGTCCCCAGGGCACCCCCAGGACCGCTGCTCAGACGCTCCCCAGAGCTGCTCCCAGGACCACTGCTTGGGCAGCCCCCAGGACTAGCTGCAATGGCTGCTGCTCACACGGTCTCCAAGGTAACTTCCAAGAGCCACCTGATTAGCAGCTGGTATGGCTGGCTCTGGGGCGGTCCCCAGGATTGCTGCTCTGGCACTTCCCGGGGCCGCCCCCAGGACTGCTGTTCGGGCAGTCCGCGGGACCAGCCACACCAGCCACTGCTTGGGCAGTCCCTGGAGCCTGCTTCCCAGGGTTGCTTCAGCAGTGGCCGCTGCAGCTGGCCGTGCGGTGCCCAAGCAGCTGCTCAGACAGCCCTGAAATCAGCCGCACCAGCTGCTGCAGAAGTCATGGAAAGTCACGGAAAGTCATGGAATCTGTGACTTCCTTGACCTCAGTGAAAGAATCGCAGCCTTAACTATGATGTATGGTTCTTGTGTTTTATGTTTCTGTAAACCACCTAGCCCACCGTCAGACACTGTAATAAGGTGACTATGTTTAAAAATAGCAACTTCTTTCTCAATAGTGTATTTAGACACTTCACTGTGGACTTAAGTTTAAGAATTGGATTTTTAGTCCTGCTATCCCTGCAGAGTCAACACACCTAAGAGTGACAGAACTGAATTCTGTTCTTCTTTTTGCATCAGATGCCATATTGTTTGTAAAATTCCAAAGCTAGTTGAAGACACTCATGTTACATAGTGACTGGGGACATAATCTGAAGACAGTGTTGTGTGGATGTAATTGTTGAAGGCATAACTTAATTTAGCCCTGCAGGACCATTATTACCAGTGTGACGGGGTGGACCAGCCCCGCACTGGGACTGAGAGGGTTAATCCTTCCCTCCTAGCAGAGGAAGCCATGTCCCTGAGGCTCTGCTGGGCATGCTCCGCCCGGAAGTCAGGTATAAAAGCCTGTAGAGCTGTTCAGTCAGGGCTGGCAGCTGAGGAGGAAGGATGCTCAGCAGAGGCTCCAGCCCAGGAGCCGTTACAGCCCTTACCGGGGAGAGCTGAAGAGCCAGGAACCTGGACCAGAGGCCCACAGCTATCGGAACCCCAGGAAGCATCTGGTGCTGAGAGCCCTGGAGACCCTGATGCCACAGGGACTATGGCGACTGGTAGGAAGAGACCCAGGGAAGGTAAGGAAGGGAGTGGTACCTCCCACCACTATGAGGTCAGCGTGTTTCGGTCGGATTCCCCGCTGACCCAGTAGTGGATCTCTCCGCCCCTGACAGGGCCCTGGATCAGAGCCTGGTGAAGGCGGGTGGGCCTGGGCTCCCCTACTGGGGGTCACTACCCCTCCCCTTTTTTTCTTGAGATGACATAATTCTCTGACCCCTTGCTTGCCTCAGAGGATTTAGAGAGACTCTGGCCATTGGGTCATACTGCTCTAGGAGCACACTATATGGACTCCGGCTGCTGGGCTGCGCTATCCCACTAGGGGGAAAGAGTTTAGGGGGACTCTGACCATTGAGACACACTGTACGGACTATTGGAGGGGTAGTAGAACAGATGTAGGTGCAGAAGGGTGGGGTTACCCCTCCTCTCCCCCCCCCGCAGATCAAAGGGGTGGATGAAGTACAAAACCTGCCACAACAAGTAATAAAGTAATCTGCTTTGCAGTACAGCTCTCATCTTGGGACAATATGGCCCTACTTCTGGTTGTTAGACTAATATTTAATATTTCTCCAAATTCTTCCACCTCTTGTTTAGAAAAGTCCCAAGGGGTCTCCTGAGGATGTAATGCTTCATTGTACAGAGTTTGTTGCTCCATGACTAAAGGTGAATTTCTCATCACTTGTTGCTGGAATGGTTTTTTGTATGGTCCATAATTTTTTTTTTAGTTTTCACTCCTTCCCACTTGCTGTTCGATCTTTTATCTTCTTCACTTTATTGGAACCACTTAAAATCTTTGGAGAAACATAGGATCAATTTCAGCAGTGGTTTACACCATCGTAAGGTCTCTGGTGGTAAAACTTCTTCGCAGGGGCAGTGAGTTATGGCAATGCAAAGTGGCTGTAGTCCATTTTCAGACGGTTGTATGTTTATGGGAGTGGAGGGAGAGGGGTTCACTGTGACCCACCAAAGTGGGTGATGCTGTCTGAAAATTAACATGCTTGGACTGTGGGAGATTCTCTGCCTCTGTGAGGAAGGATCTGCCTACAGTTTTCCAGTGGAATTGAAAATCTCCTTCCTTCCAGCAGAACACTTGCGGAGGGAAAAAAGCAATGGTAACAGTGCCAGCCCTCCACTGATATAAATCTCTCCTACAATGGCTAGGTCTTTACTTCATTGCATCTAGCTTGGTGCTTATATATATAGTTACTTGCAAATATAGTATCTGGAACATTTAGTTACGCAAGTATTAATTGACAAAATTCCCTGTTCTTGACATACTTTGAAATCTGCTACACAAACCTGTGGTGCTTGCTACTTTTGTCAGCTCAGGGGTTTTCCAGGAATAGCAAAAATACCCTTTGACATTAAAAGAAATGAAACTTATTGGTCCTGATAAAGATTTTTGTTTGAGTTGCACTTAATCACTAACTGCATTGGTTTCACATACTTCTTTGCTCCTACATATCTTTATAAGTGGTGGTTATGGTGATGCATTTTGCATACATTGTATTTCCATTCACCTCCCAGTTGCCACTTTTATCAACACACCCATCATGTATTTAAATGTGACCGCTGCTATCCTGATTAGATTTGGAATGTGGAGATTACACATTTTCTCACACATTTACTTTTTCACACACAAAGATGTGTACTTCACAGCTTGGTTTTGCTTGTGATCTCTCTTACAGAGTTCACTTCCGAATTTCACCTCTCAGATTTTTCATTTGCTGTTATAATTGCTGCTGCCTCACATATATCAATTCCATAGAATTAAAATTTTGCTCATGTAACTTTCTAGCCTCATCGTGTGTAATTCTCCCTCCCCACCACTGCTGTTGTGTTACAAACAGTGCCCTCCCAGAAAGCACATACAAATCTTCAGCCATTCAGATGGCTTACCTGACTGAACATTAGTGCCCTTCACCAAAAGAGGTGTCGTGTTGGGGAGCGTAATGTTTAGCAATCCTGTGACAGCAGTGAACAGGCTGAGAATTCCACTCTCAGGTAGCAATGTACCATCATTTTTCCTTACCTCTTTTTGTGACTGTGTGAGTTTCCACATCACTTATTGTTCAGTCAAATTAAAATGCATGACGTGGTGTAATATCCGGTCAGCCACCCTGAACAGAACTATTGCTGGATGTCAGAATGGTGCTACAGCATTTATGCAATTTTTATTTAGTAAAAGATTGAATATTATGAACATACATCGTGGAATTATACAGACTATTACAAACATTTGGGTTACATTAATTAATCCCACTCTATTGAAATGTATTAGTTGGAGTAAAAAATCAGATATACAAAAGCAAATTATTTCTTGTTCAGATCTCCTGGTTATTTCAGGATAATATGAACAATATCATTATATATTATACTTTAGAATATAATTATTATGATGGCAGCTCTGGTCGTGACTTTAGCTGAGGTTGTGTTCCAATTTCCATTTAAAGCAGGAATACCTCCCCTCTGCTAAATAATTAAAATATTGTTGTTTTTCACTAAATTAGGGTCAGTTGTTCTCCATAGACTAAATTTTCATAATTATCTTCTTGATTAATTACTTAAGTTTTTTATACATAAACTCTTTAAAAACACACCTGTTTTGAAATTTGGGCTTGGCTGCCAGGCCAAATGATCTAAAAAAATACAAAACATACTGTTCAAATTTGGCCTGGTAACAAGGCTTGCTTACAACACAGGTACATTTCTTCTAACAAGTCAGAATTCCTTTTCAAGTTATTTCCAATAATTGTCATAACTGTTTTTTATTTTGTGATACTGAATGCCAACAAATAACATACCCTGGAAATGAAGAGATTTTGACTCAACTGCACCCCTTTGGGTGAAGCTAAGGAACTGCAACAAAAGGAGAGAAACCAGTAACTACACGGTGTATGGTGTGGGTGTATTCTCAGAAGAATTACTTAAACTACATATGATTTTTCACAGTGTATGAACAGTATATTTACTTCGTGTCAACATTTTATTTAATGTGTTTACTGTATGTAACTCTATCTGTTCTGAGAATAAAATTTTACAAAATTTTAATATAAAGCAATTTTTATTTAATGTGTATTTGTAGGAAAGACTTGAATGAAAATATGTGCTTGTGAGCCAAACCAACAAATTTATTATTGTTATTATAAAACATTTATATAGTGTTGTAAAGGTAAAAGTTGCTCTATAGACCCTATACAAAGTATATTCTGCACACCACAGATGACATAGGAAAAAAATACAAACACAAATTTATTTTCACCTTCTCTCCCTGGTGTTATAGCCTTTGTTGACAGCTCCAAACTCTTGTTGTTGCACATGAGAATTTCTCAGTTCAGGATACTATAACCTGGTCAGACCTACTGAGCAATAAGGAGGGAGTTCTAAGCATGAGGGAAGAAGGCTCAGAGAGGCGAATGGTAGACATCAACACAAGGGATATTAAGGAGAGCAGCAGTACACTTTGTGTATAGACAATAGACAGTGAAGCAAAAGGAAATGAAAGGTGAGATATATGAAAGGGTGAGGTTGTGCAGTCTTGAGGTGAAAATGTGGGCAGAGCCATGAAAAAGAATTAATCAGATAATTTATCCAGCTAATACTACCAATTTGCCAAATGATTCACTTATTATTCAACTGACTCTAGATGGAAAGTTCGAACTTGATGCAGAAGGCAAAAAGAAATGGAAATAGGAATTAACCATCCACTGTTTTGAGCTACAGATATCAATAATATGTGTTATATATTGGGACATGTACAAGACAGTAGATCTGTGTAAGCTGAAGTATCTTCCACAAAGTGATTTTTTTATGTGCTTGATAATGGGTAATTCTAGGTTTTAAAAAATCCCCACTGCTCACCATGCATCTATAACTGTGAAATATAGCTGGCTGCTCAATCACACCACATATGCTAACCTCATCCCATCCCAGCCAGAGTTTCTATCTTTTTCACTTGCTCAGATAACAAAATTCTGTTGGACTAATTTTATCCCAGGGACATTCTGAGAGGCCAGATTATGGCCTTCAAAACTGGGCAAAAGTATCATAGAAAAGGACATTATTGTTACCTTGGAGACTAAAATAAATGACCTGGAGAAACAACACAACTGCTGTCTGAATAATATTCTAAGTTAAATTATCTGTAGCGTTAACTAAATGAGCTCTTGAAAAAATTGGACAATTCTGTGAAGAAAGAGAAAAAACACTGGCTTTTGATTTGAACTGCCAATGCTGAATATAGTGCCCAGTGGTATGTAATTATTTATGGAGACATTTTTACAGCACAGGAAAGAGATAAATCAGACCTTTCCCTCCCACAATAAAGCTATTTTCAAAAGAGTGAGCTCAGGGGAAAAAATTTAAGAAATACATTTACTGCTTGCTTTTTAGGAGTTGTGTCAGTTGAGCATTGAACTAGAAAGCCACATTGCAGCGTAGGCCCAAAATTCCTCAGTGAAGACCTGCAGAACCACCACATTCTATCACAGATTGTTGTTAATAAATAACATATAAACAGTATACATAACATATACAGATCTAGGAACTTCAAAAGTCTATATATTTTATTATATAAGCCACTATCCATTGACTTTGTGTTTTATTTTTTTCTCTCCATATTCTTTACAAATCATCTTGGGCTATTGCTTCTTTTCCCTCTGAGGCATGGGATTGGAACCTTTGACTCCATTGTGACATAGCACAGTTTCCACTAGTCTGCTAGGTTGGCCCTGTGAACACTGGTAAGTATTTCACCCACTCAAAGAACCTATGTTATTTTGCTGGTACTGTGTTTAAGGCATATAAAATAAATAGATACACATAATTTATAATGCTTTTTGACTTGTCTCCATAAATTATTATTTTAAAAAAATACAGACAAAGCCATATGTTTTCCTCCCACTTAAACACTTTAGTGTGGAAGATGGTCTCTAAAAATGAACAAACCTAACAGCATGCAAGTTTGTCTCGAAGAATAATAATCTTTTGCTTAAAGAAACGGCTTCCGCTTATAACAAATGACAGCAAATCAAGAGTGCTGATGGCAGTTATACTCAGACAGATATCATTGTAAAGTTCTAATTGTTTTTCTTTCATGTGCTGTATGTAATAGAGCCTAAAGAGGTGATACGGAAGGAAACAAATTATTATCACAGATATGAACATCAGACTTTTAATCTGGGCCCAGAATTCTTGATGTGACCAGACAGAGCCTGGAAGCTTTTTCACCACCTTTAGAATGATGAAGACTTGCAAGCCCAAGAGGACACATGTGATGGCAGCTACAGTGGCAATTATGACATAGTTCAGTGCTTTCACACTCTCCATCTTGAGTTCTTGTTGGAACGTAAAACATGTGTTATTTCCATAATCCCCAGACATCCCATACCGAGCACTGAACAACGGCAGCACAATCACAAGGGCCACTATCCACACTGTAGCACTAGCAGCCACAGCGTGCAGCTTCCTGTAGAACTCCACCTTGTCCTTCCATTGAAAGAAAATGAGCCACCGGATAACGAGCGTGATTATGTAGAATAGAAGAGTGAGGTACATGTGGATGTGCATCATAGCACTCACTGCCTTACAAAAGGCCAGCCCAAAAATCCACTTCTGACTGATATAATAATAAAGCCGAAACGGCACAGTCAGGAGAACCAGGCAGTGCAACACCACGAGGTTGACGATCACCGCCGTGGTCACTGACAGAGTGTTCATTTTAACCAGCAAAAATGACATTGCGATGGCTCCAATTGTACCTCCAATAAATGCTACTGTATATATAGTAATCAATATGTAACGCGCAATGTCAGAATGAATGGTACCGGCCTGAGGTATACCGACAGATGCATTCAGCAAGGTTGTAGTCTCTCCAGGCATGGTCCTGTAAATCTCTCTTTTGGACTCTATAAAAGAAGACATTAATGTCATTAAAGATTAAAGTGAGATTTAAAACTGAGAGCTACCATCTGAAAAGCAAACTGAGTCTTCAGCCCGGTTCTGGCTCCAGGGCGTATATATATATATATAATCCTAGAAATGCTTGGATTACTTCATTTCTGATATCAGTTACTGTAAATGATTTTCCCCACTACTGAAATGTCCTCTGTTAGGAAAGGCAGTTCAGAGTTCCTACTAGTTAGGAAAGAATGGCTGCAAAAGTTGAATTTAAAGATGGAAAAAACCCAAGCAGATACATAGGTTAGAGGGAGAAGCTGATGAAGTTATGAAAATGTTACCAGCCATGTACTTAAAAACAGTTATTAATAAATATTTCAAAACAAAGGTAGGCAAAAAAGATCTGCTGCCTGGCCAAATTGAGTATGATCCTTATGGGGAATGACTGCCGAGGAAAGAGTACTGCAGAAAGAGATCGGGGGGAGGGGGGTCATATATGAATCAACAGTGTCACACTGTTGCAAAAAGAGCAAACATCATTCTGGGATGTATTAGCAGAAGTGTTGTAAGCAAGACACGAAAAGTAATTCTTCCGCTCTACTGCATGCTGATTAGGCCTCAACTGGAGTATTGTGTCCAGTTCTGGGTGCCACATTTCAGGAAAGATGTGGACAAATTGGAGAAAGTCCAAAGAAGAGCAATAAAAATTATTAAAGGTCTAGAAAACATGACCTGTGAGGGAAAATTGAAAAAACTAGGTTTGTTTAGTCTGGAAAAGAGAAGACTGAGAGGGGACATGATAACAGTTTTCAAGTATATAAAAGGTGGTTATAAGGAGGAGGGAGAAAAATTGTTCTTCTTAACCTCTGAGGATAGGACAAGAAGCAATGGGCTTAAATTGCAGCAAGGGAGGTTTAAATTGGACATTCAGAAAAACTTCCTGTCAGGGTGGTTAAGCACTGGAATAAATTGCCTAGGGAGGTTGTGGAATCTCCATCATTGGAGATTTTTAAGAGCAGGTTAGACAAACATCTGTCAGAGATGGTCTAGATAATACTTAGTCCTGCCATGAGTGCAGGGGACTGGACTAGATGACCTCTCGAGGTCCCTTCCAGTCCTATGATTCTATGATTTTTATCAGTCCTTTGTGTTAACAGCTCAGATCTTTATTATAGAGGATCTACTTGGTGATCAAAAAGAAGACACAAATCATTAGAATCCTGCTATTTATTCATTAGAGTTAAGGATTTTTAATTTATTTCTGATATAAATATTCTATTTAAGAACCAGATTCTACAGTTAATCACATGCTGCTCCATCGAAGTCACAAATATGAAATGTGACTGAGAGCAGAGTTTTGCTCAGGGATCTGTACATAATGAATTATATAAAATGTGTGTTATAGATATTAAATATTTAATATAAATAATATTTCTTCCCAGGTGCTAAAAGAGAGGGTAAGTATCATTCTGATGCTCTAAAAGGCTCACATTTACCACATATATGTTATGTTGTATTTTCACATTGGGCCAAATTCAGAAGTATTTATGTGCCCTTGAAAGGACCAAAAGCAAAGTGAAAATTGTAGTTCTACTGTGTAGATGGGGACATCTTTGCAGTCCTGGAGGACTATTAAGACATGCAGCAGAAGAGAGAGCCATGGCAGGTCTCTGCAGCTCACTGGAAAGATGAGATCTTGACATGTTGGAAGGTGATGTGGGATGGGCAGACCACAGGACTGCATGACCACATACTGTTGGAGCAAGCAGGTAGATTGAATCCAGTGTTCCTTCATATACCCGACAGTAGCTGGATATGTATGTGTGCCCTGAATTGTGTATCGACCTGGGTTCATCCCTGCCAGCTTCCTCCTGGGTCCTTGTGGGTGAAGCACTTTTATTTGAATTTGACTCATGGATTTTACAATGTAAAACCTGACCTGGTTTTCTTTTAACACCAAAGCAGTGTTAGCTTTGCAGTATGATAAGTAGTTCCTCTATCTATTGTATCACTGATCTTTTAGGTGATTTCCATTTTAAATAATACACATTTTGACAGTCAAAAGACTATTTAACAGTTTCCTCATTTGTGGAAAAGAGGAAATGCCTTTGATATTTCTAACAGCAGGTTTCAGTTGCAATGGGACATTAACAATGTGATATTTCTCAGTGACTTCATTTTTTGATAAAGATTTTAGCTATTAACACGTTTTTAGTATGCCTATCATTCTAGTATCTGAGCTCTCTTTATAGGCTGGCCACTATTTGAAAAGTCAACACTTACTTAAACTGTTACCTCAACATATCCAAAATATCAATTATTTCACGATATCTAGTATCAGCAATAACCAGGGGACCTTAGATATTGTATAGGAATTACTGGTAAATATTGACTCCCTAATGGTTGACTCTGTATTTTAGAGGTTAAAATTATATTTGTAGCTCAAAATGAAGTTCTCTCATTATTTTTCCAGTAAATTATAGCAAGCAAAATGTGTTGCAAAAGAGATTTTTTTCTGTAAGGAACTACAATTTACAGTATATTTCGACTATGCTACTGGAAAGGAAAGAGTACAAGTTCCTTCCTATTCTAGCTGTTGCCTCTTCTATAACATTGCATTTTAGCTTTAAAATGTTCATACCAGAAGGGATTAGCAATAGCTGTTTGTATGTCAATTTTTTAAGTTGTCAAACTGTAATTAGAAAACATGTCACTATAATATTGCATTATCAGACAGTCTCAAATTAGAATGTGTATTTACAGTTTTAAAGTACTACTATACTAAAGACAACTGCTGCAAATCTGGATTGCTATGACAGACATATGATTATCTGCATCATTAACAGTAGTTCTGTGGTTGGAGTTGGATGACCCCTGGTGGTTGCTTCTCAAGTTCAAACAATGAAACCTTTTCAGAATTCACATAGAAGAAACCAAGTAGAAACACCACATTTGGAATTTTTCACACACCTCTGCTATTGAGACAGTGAAAAACTTACCTATGTCCCTCAGTGCATGCCAATGCATTGTAATGCAAGTTTCTACAGCATTATGGAGAATCTACACACCATCCCTGCAATAGTTCTGCAGGAAGGCTCATCTTCATTGTGTGTACAAAGCGTTCACCAACAGTGATGTTAAAGCACAGAAAATCAGCTTATCTGGCCACTACTGTTACAGCCATCCAGTTGAAACCTATTTATCTTGAGAATACATAACATAGCATGACACAGCGTAATATGCTTCACATAGAAAATTGCTACCTTCTCATAAGATGCAGTTTCCTACTGTGCAGACACCTGAAGAGCCAGAAAACATTGACCAGAATGGCAAGTGCCAGGTCTTACAGACATAACTTTTAGCAGGAGACACATGGAATGAGAACGTGAAGTCTTTCGTATTGAAAGGTAAATGCTTTATTACATTAGACCATGATCTTGGAACCTGCGTGCAGCCCAAGAAATAGACTCTATATGAGGGTCAAAGGGCAGACAAATAACTGCCACAGGCTGAGAACCACAGAGGAAACCACTCTGTGGCCACTAGTGCTGCCTCAGGGTTGCATTAGCTTCTGAGAGAGATGACTCCCATGTAGTTTCCCCACTCAGATTATGTAGTTGCAGATCTGCTGGCTAAGTCCCACCTCCAAAAGACTCCTCCACACTATGGATTCGCTACAGGATTGTGTTTTGTTGCTGCACAGGGTTCCCTCATTCTGGCCTTCACCTCTGTGTTGCAGAATTACATTAGTTTGCTACGCCCATGAAGATGGAAGGGGATTGGATTGACTCTGTAATATATATGTTCAGAGCTCTTCAGGGAGGGGCTTGCGTTTCCTTCCTTTCCTGATTCCCTCCCACCCAGGCTACATCATGGTCAGTGGTATTATGTGAGATCAGAAGCAAATCTCAAATCCTTCTCTACACTAAATGTCTTGTCATTTGGCTAAACTTTTGGGAGACAGGGGTTTTGAAGAACAGTAGCACAAAGGCACACAGCCACCTCATTTGGATCATATAGAAGCCAAAGAAGCATCTATTGATGTTGGGGACCTTCAGGAAATCATCAAAACATCAGTATTTTGTTTCAGCAGAGGAGGTAGCAGATTGTGCTGGGTAGGAGTCCAGAAACTAGAGTCTTTCATAATAGTGATTGACAAAAAGATTTTTGTGATAAATTTGAGTATTGATGTTCCATAAATTCATAGATTACATTATTAATTATTATTATGTATTATTAATATGGCACAGGCCATAGGACTTCCCTGAAGTCATTCCTGTTTGAACTACAACATATGTTTTAGAAAAAACATCCAATCTTGATTTAGAATTTCCAATGACGGAGAATCCAAAGCAGTAACTCCTCACTTAAAGTCGTCCTGGTTAACGTTGTTTCATTGTTACATTGCTGATCAATTAGAGAACATGCTTGTTTAAAGTTGCACAGTGCTCCCTTATAACATCGTTTGGCAGCCGCCTGCTCTGTTCACTGCTTGCAGGAAGAGCAGCCCGGTGGAGCCAGCTGGTGGGGGCTTGGAACCAGGGTGGACCGGCAGCCCACCATAAGCTCCCCATTCCCCTAAGTTCCCTGTGCGGCAGCCGCCCAGCAGGCTATCAATTGCCCGGCAGTTCAGCTGTCCCTCTCCCCACTGCTGTGTGCTGCTCCTGCCCTCTGCCTTGGAGCTGCTCCCGGGAGCCTCCTGCTTGCTGTGCAGGGGGAGGGGAAGGCTAATGTCAGGGTGTCCCCCTGCTCTTGCACCTCGCTTACCCCTTCTCCTTAGAGCAGGGTGGGGACATGACAGGGCTCAGGACAGAGGGAGCTTCCTGGCAGCAGCTTCTGTCTCAACTTGCTGATCTACTTAAAAAAGCTGTGTACTTAGAGTGCGGTCCTCATACTTAAAGGGGCAATGAGCATCTCTCTCTCTCACACACACACGGTGTATGTCTCTGTCTCTATCTGCCATGCTGTCTCCCCTCCCTCCGTGCTGCCTTGTAGAATGTGAGGCTAC